GTTGGAACTGGATGAATTTTAAGATCCCTTCCAATCCAAACCAGTCTGGGATGGTATGAATTCAGCTCGTTAGAATTAGATGCCTTTATGCTGAGGGGTCTTACTATGTGGGGTTGTGCTATGCTCCTTCAGTTGTGGTTGGATGTGGGGAAGTGGGAATCAGCACTGCTATACTGCTGTACCATTCAGCCTCAGTTATCCTCTACTAGTTATAGATACCTGGCTGCATGATGCCCCATCATTCTGTCCAGTTTTCCTTCTGCTTAAAGGCCATGTCAGAACTTACAGCTTATTCCTCTTGCATTAATTCCTAACTCTGACTCAGCAAAATTATTTGTCTGCTTCCCATGTTGCTCATGGCTACAGAATCAAAGTGCGCATGCCACACTGTGAAAATGGACAGTTTACTCAAGCCACTTGAAAATACCAGATGTTTTCCTAAAGCAAGTTCTTTATTAGCTTCTTAGGGTGGGGTTTAGTAGGGTTGTTTTTTTCCTCCCAAATAAAGTTGAGAAAAAGCTTCATCATTTTTTACAGAGAGAAATTCAAGGGGGAAAAAAGCCTCCTCTCTGATGCCAGAGTTAAACTCTAATCACTGCTCAGCTCTCTTGGAATTTGGCAGCATACCAGTGCTCCTTCCCTTTGGTAGGTCATGTGGAAATACTGGAGCATTTTCTTAAAGAACCTCTGAGCAATTTTCAGGTACTTGCACAGATGTAACTTTCTGTTAGGATTCTAATTCCTTTCATGCTCTTAACTACACTTAAGCACTGTTTGTAATAAGCACCATTCAGAACGACAAAATTTTATGTATAAATATTAGATTATTTTAAGTGTGTTAAAAAACATTAATGCAGCTCTAAAAATCTGCTTTTAAGTCGGTATTCCTACCCAGTTGCAATAGAATCACACACTTTAATGTTGGAAATAAAACTTAAATGTGCTTAATGAAATGAACCCACAAGGAGTTCACAAGTTTATTAAAGGCTCTGTAAGTGGCTGAGATCAAACATGAGAGATGAGGGTGATTTTCTTCACTTTGATCAGTGATAATATTGAAGATTCTCTTTGCACTGCTTTTTACAACTACATCACCAGTTGGTTTTCATTTATCACCAGTGGAGATAAATGGAGATTCTTTCATTATCAATGAAGATTCTTTCTGATGGGATGCTTTTAATTCTGTCAAAGCTCAATTGGCCATTCTGTAAAAATACGGATTTTGGATCATGTAATTATAGTGTCTATGAATAGCATACTTGGATTTCCTCCCCCCTCTGTGCTGTTTCTTCCTTGCTTTCACTTTTCAGTGATACTGGGTATGAAGCCCACTCTGATGACTTCAGTGATCTGATTAGCTTGAAACTGTGGTAGTGTTTTCAGTGCTGATCGTTGACCTAGTTCCCCACTGTCCTAGTGGCAGGCTGTGTTTGAAAAGCTTATGAACTTCTAAAAACAAAGTTATCTGAAAACAGTGTGATTTGTGTTGGATGAACACAGTGACCTTTTTACTGGATCAATACTTTTATTTACGTACTAAACTTGGAAGTTGCTTTTCTTCCAGCGCTACAGAGCAGACTCAAAAGGTACTGTTTCAGGCAAGAAAGTGTGTAAGGGATTCCTTTGTTAAATGCTTGCAGCAACTTCAGGAGCCATTGCCAAGTCTCTCCAGCCCACCCACCCGTCCAGGAGGACACCAGAAACCGCCCACTATGGCTTGGCATTGGCATGGTGCTGTTTGGAGTGAGGGGGATGCCGGCAGTTCTGTGCTGGAAGGGGCATGGTAACCATAGGTGGTGATGCCCGTGTCCTGTTGCCCTGGAACGGCTGTGAAACCACTGTCTGTGACGCTGGGCAAACAGGCGTCACAATTGTTCAGGTGACACTTCAAACAAGAGCAGAGAGAACACACTGTGCCTCCACTACCCAGGCAGTTAGCACTCTGACGAACAGAGGGGTTGCAGGGAGTCCATACTGCATCAGATTCTCAAAATGCTATAATGATTTATATACATTTCAACGTTGTGTCCCCCACCTCACCTAGCCGCCTTCTTAAATCATTCAGTCATCTCTCCCTTTGACCTTCATTTGCTCTCTGCAATTCCACCTTTCAACATACTGATGTGTTTCGGTTAAAACTGAAAAAGATACACCAAAATAATACCGCATGTTTCAAAAATGTCGTTACTGTTTTGCTCAGGATAATTTTCTACCACTGCCACAGGAGTCCCTCAAAACAAGTGGTACATGTCTCTATAGGTGAATGTGGGTAACCTGTGATCCCAAAAGAGCTGTGGAGCCTTCGGTTAAAAAGAATCCAGAGAATCTCTTGGAAGTGGCAATCACCTACATGTGATTTTCCTGCAAGAAAAGGACCTTTGTGAGGCTCCCAGAGTTATACAAGAACTGAAATAAGACTGCGAAATGAGTGTGACCAGCAGGTCAAAGGAGGTGATCCTGCCCCTCTACTCTCCTCTCGTGAGACCTCACCTGGAATATTGTGTGCAGTTCTGGTGTCCTCAACATAAAAGGACATGGAACTGTTGGAACAAGTCCAGAAGAAGGCCATGAGGATCATCAGGGGACTGGAGCACCTCCTGTATAAAGGCAGGATGAGAAAGCTGGGGCTGTTCAGCCTGGAGCAGAGAAGGCTGCGTGGAGACCTCATAGCAGCCTTCCAGTATCTGAAGGGGGCCTATAGGGATGCTGGGGAGGGACTCTTCATTAGGGACTGTAGTGATAGGACAGGGGGTAATGGGTTAAAACTCAAACAGGGAAAGTTTCAATTGGATATAAGGAAGAAGTTCTTTCCTGTGAGGGTGGTGAGGCACTGGAATGGGTTGCCCAGGGAGGCTGTGAATGCTCCATCCCTGGTGGTGTTCAAAGCCAGGTTGGACAGAGCCTTGGGTGTCATGGTTTCATGTGAGGTGTCCCTGCCCATGGCAAGGGGGTTGGAACTTGATGATCTTAAGGTCCTTTCTAATCCTAACTATTCTATGATTCTATGAAACCTGCTAGCCCATCACGGCCAGTCCTGTGCCAGCACAGGACTTTTCCCTTTTGTTTATGGTTTTGGATTGTTAGGTTAGTTTCATGTGACCCAAGGAAAAGTTACCATCCTTCACACCCTTCTCAGGTTTTCATTTGCCTGCCATTTGCTCTTCACCAAAGGGCAATGTCTGTGTTTTCTTAGGCATGTTCCTGAACTTTTCATCTTACTGGAGAATATTGGTCTCTTCCAGCAGCTGGGTATAGCAGTGAAGCTAAGAAGCTTTCTCTTGCCTGCATGCTCTGAACTGTGTCTCCAGTAACCAAGCAGTGAACACTAATGGTAGGCAAACCCCTGAGTCTTTCGCTGATGTGCTCTGAGTCTGTCTCTTTGGCCTTGCTTCCTGTGTTTGATTGATACACTGGCTAAAGAAGAAAAATATCTTGAAATTAAAATTCACATGGTACCGGGCAGAACCCTCAAAAAGAAGGATTAAAGGGTTTTCAAGGGAACCAAAAGGGAGAAATGAAGCAGAACACAGAGGTAACTGGAAAGGAAATCAACCCCAAGGTTGATAACTCATAGTGTTAATGGAAAAGGGAAAACTGTACCAGTAAGAAAGACTCTTGGAGGTCAGAGGAAGATGCTAGAAGAATAATGCATGTGAAAGTCCTGTACTGGTAATGTGAAATAAGAGAAAACAGGGCAGACTGTCCATGAAAGAAGAGCTGGGATCTGGCAGATAAAGCTGGTACATCACAGGATGCAACACCAAACACTTGAATTTCAGTTTGAGAACTGTTGCACAGAAGTCTGCCTGGCTCTCCTCATGTAAAAACTTTCTCAGCTGCATTTGACACACCTGTATTTGCCAGATTATGTCGTGATTTCTCCTTATTTATGGTGACATAACAAAAGTGTTCCCAAAAAGTGGTTCAGACCCTGTCAAAGCGAACCATTCACTACTGAAAATTACACTTTGAACTGTTGTAACACTTATGGAAGAATACCCTGGAGGTTTCCAGTGTTCAAAATACTGTGGCTGCAGCATCCTAACAGCTTCAAAGTGTAATTCTGAGTGGTGTGAACTGCTCTGTGTGTCTCAAGGGACTAATCCTGAGCTATGACCACACTTTAAAATGTCAGTACCACAGAATCACAGAACACTTTGGGTCAGAAGGGACCTTCAAAAGTCATCCAGTTCCAACCCCCTTGTATGAGCAGAGACATCTTCAACTGGCTCAGGTTGTCCAGTACCACATCCACCCTGGCCTTGAATGTCTCCAGGGATGGTTCATCCACCTCTCTGGGCGACTGTGCCAGGATCACTGTAAAGAATTCTCTCCTCATGTCCAGCCTCAACCTCCCCTCTTTCAAGAACCGAAAGGCTGTGGTAAGGTCTCCCGGAACCTTCTCTTCTCCAGCCGCTCCCGCAGCCAGGCTCACTGACTCCCTGCCGGCCTTCCCACACCCGCGCTGACGCCGTCCCGAGGGCCACCACCTCGGGCGCTACCAGCCGCGCCCCACCGCCCGCCGAGCGCAGGAGCCCGGCCCCGGGCGGAGCGGGAGCGGGGGCAGGTGCCGGTCGCGGGGCAGGGAGGGGCGGGCGGGCGCAGGCCGGTGGAGGCACCGCCCGGTGCCGGCGCGCCCGGCGGGGCGGGCTCTCCCCGCCCTTTCCGCTGAGCGCAAGGGGAGGAGCGGCAGCGGCCCCGGTCGGAGCGGAGCGCGGTAGAGCTGCCTCTGCTGGGACCAGAGTGCGGAGCGGAGCGAATCGCGGGGTGCGGGCGACGACGGCGTCCCGGTGCCTGCCTCAGCTCCAGCCCTGCCCGGACGCGCTGCGGCTGGCCGGGGCACGGCGGCTCCTTCGAGCCCCTGTGCGGGGAGAGTGCGCCCCCGAGCGGCGGGGCGCAGGAAGCTCTCCTCCTCGCACCGCACCATGCTGCCCTCGCTGTCCCCGCACCACTGCGCCTGACGCGGGGACGGGGATGGGGATGGGGATGGGGATGGGGATGGGGATGGCCATGCAGCCGGCGCTCCGCTAGGCAAGCGCGGCGAGGCTCGGCGCGGGCCGGAGCTCCGCGGCCATTCCCTCAGCAGCGCGGCGGCACCGGCCCCTGCCCCACCGGTACCATGAGGAACGGCGATGACTTGGAGGGCTTCGATGGCGAGGCGTCCAGCACCTCCATGATCTCGGGGACCAGCAGTCCCTACCAGCCCACTACGGAGCCCGTCAGCCAGCGCCGGGGGCTCGGCGGCCTCCGCTGCGACCTGGACTACCTGCGGGGCACCCTCGGCAAGATCAAGCTGGCCGAGGTGGTAGGTACCACGGGCGGGGAGTGGGCCCGGGGCGCCCGGTGGGGCTTCTTCCCCCGCACCGGTAAGGGCGGGGAGTAGAGGAAAGGCTCCCGCGGCGGTGGGGCCGTGCCGCTCGCCCGCCGGCGAGGTGCGTACCTGCGGGTGCGGCGCTGGCCGCGGCCCAACGTCCTCCATTTCAGGCGGCCGGGAGCGCGGTGTCACCCACGGGTGCGAGGGGCCGGGTCGGCCCCATGCCGGGTGTGAGGGGCGGTTCGGCCCGGGCTGCCCTCCCGGCTCCCGCCGTGCCGCCCCGCTGCCGGGTTTGTGGGGGCTCGAGGTCGGCCCGGGCTTGCCAGGTCAGGTGGTGCGGCTTCCCCTTGCAGCGGGAAACGGCCCGGGTCAGGCCTCCATTACGGTGGGTTTTGCAGGGGCGTTCCGCTGTGTCGGTGGGGTTTAGGAGCGTATTTCGCCTCAGCGTGTGTGCCAGGGCCTGCCCGTGCCTGTGGTCACGGGTGTTCGGAGAACTCCATCACTACAGCGTCTGTGGAGCTTAAAAAGAAAAAGCCAACGGACCAGTTTTAGTGTTAACTGTGGGTTCACGTCGATGATTTACTGTAGAGGCGTTGGACAGTGGCGCGGCTGTGGCTGGAGGTGCCCCGGTGCCTGGTGTGTGCGGGGTCCCTGCTGCTGCCCCGCGGTGGAGCTCCGCGATGGGTCCACCCCTTGGGCTGCTCTGGCCTGCGCAGCGATGGCTTGTGTTGAAGTGCACAGAGGAGAGGAAAAGAGCCTCTGGGGAAAAACACAATACAACAGAACAACCCCGAACCCGTGTTTTTCTGTTCTGAAACAGGCTGTGAGCTGTATTTGTTAATGTGCTTTGAACAGCTAAACTGCTGAGTTTTATGAAGTCGGTGCAAGTTATGGAGCATCACAGAAGATAAATGTGTGTAGTGACACCTAAGGGTTTTCTTCGTTCTTGTTCTGGTGATGATGCTGATGCTTGTTCTCATCGATCCATTTTCTAAGTCACTGTGATGCTAACATATTTTTAATCAACAGATGTATCTTTCAGGCTATTTTAAAATGGGCGTTTCATGAAAATGCCAGTAAGTTTGAAATAAATTTTTAAGTAGTTTCTCGCAGAGTGCTACAGATTGTTTTCCCTTAAAATGGGTGAGTTCTTTGAGGACGGAAACATTTTGGTATTTCTTATGTTTAAGTTCAGCATTTAAAATCGCTACTGGTTAGTACAAGACAAAGGTTGCACATACAGGTTTCATGTAAAATGCATTCGCAGTATCCTAGGTTCAGAAGTGACACAAGTTCATAGAAGGCTGTGATGATGAATATGTGATAATTTTTTTATGAATACCCAGTAAAATCCAGTGTTTGGAAGTGCCATTTGGTTCCTTCTCATCTCCTTAGTGTAGAATGGAATCTGAGGTCTGCAAGTGGTAGCAATGAGTGTGTTACCTGAGTAGTCTTAACAACAGGGAATAGCTGTACAGGGAATAGCTGTACTTGTGTTATGTGTTTTCAGGATTGAAGCCAAAGAATCTGCATCATTGTGCAACATCTACCTGTCTTGGAACTGTTAAAAATTGCCCATGTGGTAGAAATCCTGGGGTGGTGCTGCCTAATGTGGTGAAATAATCTGCCCTCAGGATTTTTGTTTCTGCCATGCTGCTGATCCTTTCAGTAGTACACTGATAATTGTGGCAAGTCACATTAAAAGCTTGTAATTAAAATGAGTGATTGTGGATGATGAGTAAGTAAATCCTTTATTGTTAAACTGTGATTTGCTTGGAATGAGTTCCAAAGAATGTGGAGTACACCTCTTAAGTTTTTAAGCATTGCAAAGAGTCATGGGGGAAACCCACACTGTACTGGGGTTACAGGTACAGGAGTTTTCTTGTCTGTTGAACAAAGATATTGCTATTTCCAGGACATTGATAGAAAGGTGTATGATTGCATATTAGTATCTTCAGGGGAGCTGAGTAGTGTTTTGTGCCTTATTAAAAAGGGGGATCTGAGCTGTTGCATATGGTTTTTATGGAGCGTATGAATCCAGTAGGCCAGAAGCTAATATGAATTAAAAGCTAACAGAAATTAAATTAGCTAGTATTAGGTGGAAGCCTGTATATCATCCTGGCACATTTAGCTTCTGCATAGTTGTACTCGAAAGAAGCTCCAGTTCATGGTAATGACTGGTACAGGAGGCTGCTGAATTTTGCAAGCCAATGGAAAACTGAGCAATTTAGGAAAAGAAAGAACACATTCTGGAGTGTACTTAATTTGCTTATTTGCCAGGTATCATTATTTAAATTATCATGTTTAATAATATCTTTACAAAAGTACTGTAGGCACTAAAATGTGTCAAAGGCCATAGTGTAGAGATCTAGCTCGTAAAACCAAGGAGGAACTCATTTGTTGCACCCCTTATTGCACACAAGAAAACAAAGACAAGTACCAATTTAGATATAAGGTCTCTAAATATATTCTAGTAAAAAGAGTGCTACAGGAAAAATTGCAAGGTCTGTGCTCATGTAGCATCAGGATTTGTCTTAAAATACATACATGATTGGCAGACAAAAGTATCAGCTCAAGACAAACATTGCTGTTTATTCTAATCTTCAGTTGAAGGACTTCCTGCAAATTAGTTCCTAGTGCTGTGTGTGAAGGATGATTGTGTGAACTGATGTGGCTTAAAAGGATCTTCTCAATGCCCATTCAAATTCGAAGGACCAGGGAACATGAAAAAAAAAACCAAACCATGTAACTGAAAAAGCGATTGTAGAGCTTTATTATTTTTTGTGGTAGATTTGTCTTTATTCAGAATATTGTTACAGGAATTATTACAAGAGGGAAAGCAGTACGACATTTTTTGCATGTGGTAATTAAAGTGCTGCTACAGGGGAGAATAGTTTTAACTCATATTTATTAACATTTCAAGAAAATATGCCCTAAATTGCCCTTTAAAGGGGCACTGATCTAATACATGAATTGTTATCATAACCAATTAATGTGTAGTATTGGGCAGCTTATTTGTGAGTCTTAGTTTAGTTTTCTTTCCCTGGACTCCCAGAAGAAGTTGCATAGCAGTATGGGTTTTCGTTATTTTTAAGTTGGGTATGCAAACTAATAAAACTACGTTTTACTACTTAGGGCTTCTTATTCATATTCATATTCATGGTTAAATTGAACAGTTATGTAGTACATATGTCTGCCTGCTAATGGTCAATAATATCAATATGAAGAACAGCAAGGAAGTACTAAAAAGGCCCTGTATGGAGCAGCTTAGTGTTTAACTGATTTTCCGCTTTTTGGAAGTTGTAGGTAAGTGACCTTCTCGGAAAGTAGCTCTTTTGCCCGTGAATTACTGTTCTTTTGAAAAAGTTGTCTGTGTGTTAATTTGGATCTCTGAGGGAACATCTGCTGAAACTGGGGCTGCAGCTGTACTCCTCTTTAAGGAAGAATCTCAAAGGAAGGAACATAGTGCATGTTGGGTTGTATCAGCAAAGGAGTGTTCTGGGCTGCTGGGGTGGCTGGGACACCTTGATAGTGTATCAGGCAGGTGGCAAGTAGGCAGTATAGGAGGGAAGGTTGTACAGTACTATGGAGCTGTCATGTTTGCTGTTGTGCCTTTTTATAATGAGGGTTTGAACTTGAAAGCCAGTATGTGTGTGTACTAACCAAAGAAATGCTTTTCCTTTGGGAAGTTGAAATCTATGTGGAAATTGTCTCAGCTGACGTCCTAGCATTTAGATGGAGCAGTACCTTGCCTTATGGCACATGTGAAAGATCAGATAGCCGCCCTGGGAGACCAGAGCCGAAAAGCTCATTGGAGTTTATTTTCATTACTCTTTGGCATGATTCTGTGTTTCTCATGCTTTCAGGGGCTTTAATACTTCCCATGGAGATTATTGTACAATAATCAGATATCCCTGGAAAACTTTTCTATGGACATCGTCAAATGATTTGTTTCACTTCAGTGCTTTTTTCCCTCATTCCCTTGAATTTCTTATGGAGAGTCTCTCCTTTTTGAGTGTCCTTGCTGAAGGAAGGTGTTTACTAAGTGAGGAATTGGGGGGGGGGGGGGCATTGCTGTCATCCTGAAGAGGCAGGCTGGTGCAGGTACCACCTCTTTGCTGGAAATAGTTTCTCTTTAGATGAGATTGCTTGCTTTTTTTTTTGCCCTGACTACTTTTCTCTTCAGCTTTTCTCAGTGCATTATTATTTTTCCTAGATTGTTATAATTCTGCACCTTCAAGGCTCTTACCCAACTCTTTGAAGTTGGGTATAGATGTGTATTTCCTGCTGAAATTCCCATGGTGAGTTGTGACTGCTTGTTCTCTGTTTTTCTTTTTCTTTGGAAACTGTGGCTTCTTGTGAGCAGTTCATGGGGCCTCCAGGTGAGTGGGAAGAAAACAGAGCAGGAACGTACTGGGAGCCCTGTTGGTTCTCACCTGATGCCAGGTTTTCACAGGCAATTTATTTAGAGTAACATCTCTCACCTCTAACACCTTATGTGAAAATTGTTTCTGATCAGTTTTTGTGATACTGGTGGTAGACAGGAGTGGTTTTAACTGGAGCAGTAAGATCACAGAGCAACCTTCTGATAGAAGGAGCAAGTGTCGGAAAAACCTTACTGTGTGCTAGTTTAAAAGCAGATGGCATTTGTGGTGATTAGTGACAGCCTCTGTGGATCAAACAGCTCTAGACTTTCTTTCTCTGTGTCTATTCCAAATGCTACAAAAATCCATCAGAGATTCCTTTTAAAGAAGGTAATACTTCTGCTTGGGAGGTCTCTGAGCTACAAGTTGCTGATGACTGTACTGGGAAGCATCACTGCATGTTTACTCTCATCATCTTCTCTATAGCATATGCTATTGCCCATTAGTGGAGACAAGATTTTGAGAGAAATGAAATCTGGTGGGAATAGCAGTTCATATGTTCACAATTTTCAGAATAAAAAGTTCCATCTTCATTGGTGGAGAGTAGCTGAGTGTTGGAAAAAGTTG